AAAAGAATATTTTTTAAATTATTTGATTTTTAGAAACTTTGTATATTTTTATTTAATTTAAGTTTCTGTAAACTTTAATTTTTATTGTTTAAAAAAAAATTCTTTAATTTCATTAAAATTTTACGAATTTTTTTATTTTTTTGCTTTTTTAATTTCTTCTTGAATGTTTAGACTTAATTGTTTTAAAAAGAAAAATATATATTTTAAATAAATTTTTTTTTTAAAAACTTAGTTTATTTTTGCTTTTTTTAGTTTATTTGTCTTTTTTAATTTAGTTTTCTTTTAATTTTTAGTTTTTATGTTAAACATTTTTTTTGGAACTTCATTTGATTTTTTTATTTAATAGATATGATTTTTATAAATTTTTTTAGTTAAATTTTTTCCTTTTCTAAGTCAATTTTCTTTGAGTTTTTAGTTTTTATCGTTTTCATAAGAAAAATATAGTTTTTATTATTTTATTTAATTTTTATAAAAACTATTGCTAAATTAAAAATATCTCGTAAATCTCTGTCTCCTGACATTGTGATTCATATTTCAATTAACTTTGTGTGAAATATATGGCAACCCTCCTAAATATTGTGTAGAACTGAAGCCTTATCAAAACCATTTCGATTGATACTAATCTTTTAATAGTTCATTTAACTTACTAACAATTTATTTGAATGTAACTTTTTAAACCGATGGCAACCCTCTTCGGATAACTCAAAATTTTTCGAAATGTTCACATTAAAGAGTTTTTAACAAATTATTTAATATTTCATATTTGTAACTTGTGTATAACTTAATTCAATTTGGCTTTCAAAAAAGATGGCAACCCTATTCAAAATAAAACCTTCCTAAATATTTTTGCCTGACACGCATATTGTCATACATATTTCTAGTTCATCGCGAAGTTGCTTAAAAATCGATTGCAAAGTTTCTACTCAAATTCAGTTAAACAAGAAAAGCGCGTTTATATAAAAACATGAAAAGGTCCAATATTCCTTTTATTTAACAAATTCGAGCAAACACAGTCTCTAACGTTAGAGAAATATTTTGATTTTACATTAGAATTCTAATGTAGTTCTCGAATCGAAAATCAGGTTAGAGAACTATGTTAGAATTCGATTAGAGAATGATTAGAAAAACACTAGACATTAGAAACCAATTAGAATTCAACGTTAGAAAACGATTAGATATCTAATCTCTTTCTCGATATTGAGAACTAAGTCCCCTATGCTATTCTCTAATCGCCTTTTAACCTTCTACCTTAGAGAAACACATTAGAATTCGAATCGTTCTCTAACCTAAATGTTTGTTGGGTTACTAGACGTTCAGTTTATCGCAGTAGACCAAGCTAACTGCCTGATAAAGGAGATAAGTATGTCAGCCAATCATTGGTCCACGAAATCTAACTTTTGAAATGCTTCTTTTCCCTCCGTATAACGTCGTGAAATCAATACTTTCCAAGACTACTTCCATCAGCGACTGGACCCATCCCATCTCAGTTCTTTGAAATGCATTTCTTTACCATCATCCCTAACAAACAGCACAGCTTCCCACTTTGCACAATTCCAAATGAAATCTTTCACTGGTCACATCATCCTCCCTGGCTTTTCTAAGGAACTTACCGTTGCTTCTTGCATATATGTACATACATACGTGCAAATATCCATAAGGGGATTGCATACAAATGATGCGGCTTTAAGAATAGCGTCTGCAAGTCGAGTAAACAAATATTTATTGTCGCCCTGTTATGTTGTTGCCAAGTTGCATGCCACCATTCTCTCACATCAAATATGAGCTTTCTTTCTTCTGCTCTATTTTTAACGTGTAAAAATTTGTGCGCCTGCTCTCTCTTTTAGCTTAATGAAAAATTATTGTATTTTGGTCAGTGAATGGCTTGTAATTTGTAACTGATATTGGGAAGGGATTTACAATTTTCACACTAAATGAGATAAATATCCTAGTACAATCAAACAAAGTTACCAACTGAGGTTTTGATCTACATAAGTTATTTTATTTATTAACAGGTCATTTCAAAGGATTTCTTTGGACGCATACAGTATAGAACGGCTGGTGGACATCGAGATGATTGTGAGTTTATATTTTGTTGTTTATTCTTTTACTGATTGCTTTGAATTCTTTTATATATACATATGTATGTACATAAGGGTGCATCACAAAAAAAATCTTGCGGTATAATATATTTATTATATTTTAAGACTTCTGCCAAAATATTTTGGCAACATATTAAGATACATAAGTGAGCTACTAGACTGATTTGAAAATACATCCAAATTTTTTAAAATTTTTATGCAAAGCTTTTAAGCATAAACCTCTCTATGATCTGAGGCGATTTTTTAGAAAAAATATTTTTCAAATATGCCCAGCTCACGTAAGTTTTAATATTGTTCCGAAATATTTTGGCGAAACTCTTAAATATAATACATTTTGTAATTCCGTTTGAAAACATTGCCAATTTTTTTTTGTATGAAGAGTGATGCACACTAATAATAATATAAAGTATGTACATATATATATATATGTTTTAAAATTCCCTTTTTGTTTTCTTTTCAAATTTTTCAGGTAAAACGGATGCTATTGTTAAAAGTCCCATCTGGTATCGCTACAAGGAGGGTTTCAACAACGCTGTACGCAAGGATATTCATATGAACGAGCTGCTGTAGTCGGGTACATCTTTTTCAACAGAGTTTTAAGGCGATAGCAAAGCAACAATCTAAATTGATATTTAACCTTTTAGGTGAAAACGCTGTCGTGGTGATTCTTTTCCAAAATCGCACATATTTTTTACTTCTATGAAATCGTTAATTTATTTTTTTAAGCAAAATATGCATATACATATGTACATATGTGAAAATAGCTGTATTTAATAAATATTCGTAATATTTTACTCCTCACGAAGGACTTTTAATATAAAAATTTGGAGAAAAGAAGAGAAAAATATTTTGGTATTTTCCTAAAATTGGAAAATTTAAGGGAAATATCCTAATTAATCAGACACTGTACAGAATATGCCGTTTATAATAAAAAACAGAAAATAACGTATACGCTCCTTTTTAAAGGCAAAAACAAAAGACAAAGTTTTCCCGGAAAACCCGACAACCCTAACGGCCTTGTCCCTGTGGACAGATCCCACAGAAGCTGCACGCTTCCTAGGGTTGCCGTTAGTGGAACTTGACGACAACGACTGAGATACCAACCGATCTGGGCGGGGTTGTTGTAGCTACAACAACAACAACAACAACAAAGTTTTCCTTGTAAATATTTTATTTTTCTTTAGTAGAGAAAAACCTTTACTGTTTCCTATTTATTTTAAGATCATTAGAAAATCATTAGTTTCTGATTCTTTTCAATCAAAAATAATAGCTATTTTGAACTTTTCTGGATAAAACCTGTAAAAATGTCAAAAAGCAAAATTGCTTTCAGAGATAGAGAGAAAACCCAAAAAGTACAGCTTGCTACTCGTTGTGAGTAGGGAACGGAACTTTTATTTTTTCGATCATTCTTAGCCGTCATTTATGACCGATTTAAATCGTTTATAATCATAAAAAATACAACTGAAAATAACAGTTATAATATGAACGAAAAAATACAAATCCAAAAATAACGATTATTCTTGATCGACAAAATAAAAATTATAAAGTAATTGTTAAATTTGATCGGAAAACAGAAATCTAATTTAACGGTAAAATTATGATTTTTATTATTAACATCAAAACCGTTACGGTCCCTGTTTTCAGATATTAATAAAAAGCGAAGTTGAGATTTCAATGTACTTTTGGACATGAAAGTTCCCGGAAGGTTCCGCAAACTATCGAAAAGTGACGAAAAACCTCGGAAGGCTTCCGACAAAAATCCCAAATGACCTGATAACACCTGAATTAATTGCGAACTTCGAAAGCAAAAAATAAAATACAAAATAGCCCGAAAACAACAAAAAAAAAATACAAAATAATCTCACAATGTAAAACTAAACATATTTACATACATATACTCTATCGCGTAGAGTAGACGTCCAGGTTGTGTTGTATTTCATTTTTATCAATGACTAAAAAGTCCTTTTAAAAAGGAAAACCATTTTTTAAATAAATTAGAACATTTGCGGACATATTTACATACATGATCTGGCTGTAGCTGAGTCACCTCTGCAGACTCAGCTGCAGTCAGGAATGTAAATATGTTCAGAAATGTTCTCCGTATTATTTGTTAGGTTCTCAGAGAACCTAGGATCAATTGCCGTCTGACGAAATACATTTTTTATATATACTTTTTCACCATTGTTTAAGGAATAGAAATAGCTCTGAACTGGTTCTGAACAGGTACCGAAACGGTCCCGAAATGATGTCAAACTAGTCCTGAAATAGTCGTGAACAGGCCCCGAAAAGTTCGAAAATATCGTGAGCTGGGAAATTATCTTGGAACAAGCTTTAACGCGGTCCCGAAATGGTCCCTTATTAGTTAAAAATTATCCCAAAATGGCCATAAAAATTGTCCTGAACTAGTCCCGAAATGTTCCTAAATAGTCTCGAACAAGTCCAGATGTAGCCCTAAACAGCTTCCGAAGAGCTAGTCCGGAATTGTTCATTTGCACACATATTTAAGAAGCAGAAGCAGTTACAATTTTTTTGCTGGGTTAATGCAAATTTTGCCCATACCGAGAGCTAAGTTGTTTACACATCAATAAGTTTTTCTTCTATATAATTCCAGAATATCAGTGTTGACCCTCGTAAGTATTACTATCGCGCTAGCTGTTATAATTATTATAATGCGTTATTGTTGTCATTATATATTTTTGTCATTAAAATTAGTTTATTGTCATCGCTGAGCGGATGAATGACGTTGCTGTAAGCTGCTGCGTGTTGATCTCGTCATTGGTCGGTCAGCCGTTGTCAAGTGAATTGTAGTGATGATAGTGGCGCTGTCGCAGTCTCGGTCGACGTCGCCGCCGCTGCTGCTGCTGCTACTGATGCTGCTGCAGTTACTTTGTGTTGACTTCCAGCGGGAACTTTGTTGCGCCGCTGTTGTGTTGTGTCGTTGATTGCGACAAGAGTTGAGTCGAGGCGGGTGTTATTTAAATAAGTATTGTTTTGATCGTTGCAATGGATTTGCGTAGCTTTGCTTTGTTTTGCATTTTACTATTTGTTATTGGATTCAGTACCACCACAGTGACGGCTAGACCGCGTGGACGACCGAGTAAGTAGAGTGGTGAAGACGGATGTGGGCGATAAGTACAAACATAGTGAGCAGTTAATTAAGAAAAAACAAAGCAAAGGCGTGGCGAAAAAAATAAAAAAAAATATAAAAAATTATAAAAATGGGCAACCATTTTGCTCAATAAGGGCTGCTTCCCCCAGCCAGACCATAAACAACAAGATTTCAGGGGATTATTTTTGATTTTATGACCTCTTAAAAAAAATTAGTTTTTTGTCTTTTAAATCAGTGAAAACAATTAAAATAAAGCGTTAAGTATTTTTTATGCCTTTTTCAGGTCATTACTCTAATTTACGGTTTGCCTCTATTCATCTCACATTTTGTGATATTCCTTTAAGATTATTTTTACTTCTTACTTTTTTTTTTTTAATTGATAACACTGATACATACAAGTACATACATACATATGTATGTATGATGTTTTAAGCTGTACTCATTACGTTATCAAGTTCAATCACTGCCAAATTTAATGTTCTCTCCTTTTAATTTTGCTTTTTCCCCAAACAGACATATGCCTACAGCCACCGCCAAGGTCAGAAGGTGTTTGCACCATCGAAATTGAAGGTTTCTACTTTGATCAACGCACCAATGATTGCCAAATGTATGTATTAGGCGGTTGTCGCACCGTTCCGGGACAAAGTTTTGGCTCACGGCAAGATTGCTTGGACACTTGTGTACATTTGACACGGCATATACAGGACTTGCGTATCAACGAATGAGTAATGGAGTTGGCTTGGAGTAGCAAAATGAATGGAACTGCTCGAATAATACTTGAATAATTATAAGATAAATAAATACATACATCCTTATATGTACATATATATGTACATATGTATATTATATCTTGCATTTTTTATTAAAATACATTATGTATACTTTTTTTTTGAAATTTTAGCAGATTTATGTCCATTCCAAGAAACTACCCATGTAGACGAAAAATCTCCAAAGAGGTCTATTAAACCTTCTTGCGGTTGATCTATTATATAGATTGACCTTGGACCGGGACCTTGTTCCTTGGAACTTCGAAAGTTTTAACAATATCAAGTTTTGGAGCTCATATGTCCAAAAAACTTGGAAAGTAGGGGAACTTGAGAGAGCAAAATGACATTTCTTTTGGAGGGGAATTTGCAAATTTTTTTAGAAAATTTTTTAACTTGAAACAATTTGCCAGTAAAAAAAAAAGCTAATCGCAATGTCGCCAGGTGCAATTTAAACAAATAAGAAAACTGGTTGTGGGGCGTTTATGGTTGAAATTTGACAAAATAAACGTATTTGCGCAGAAGTCCACGTAAGTTGGACTTCGCAGCTTATAACGTCCGGAATTTATATCCACATATCCTCTGGGTAGCGAACAAACACCCGTTTGAGAGCGAGCTAAAGTGAGAAGACGTAAAACTTCGCTCTCTCTTTTTGGTGACGACCACGCAAACGTATAAGGGACTATGATTTGAGGGAAGGTGCCTCTGCCCGGCTGTTTGATGTTCTCGAGAAGACAGGCTGACATCACCGTCATCCAAGAAATGCGTTAGACGGGGCAAGGCAAGAAATGCCAGGAGCCTTGCGACATCTGCTACAGCTGCCATGCTGCGCCCATGTCCCGACGAAAGAAAAGGACGAGGCGTCCAAGAATCTCTTCTATGAGCGCTTCAGAGTCAGAATATCAGAATCGTGGCTTGACGACTTGAATGCCAGGGTGGGCAAGGAAGGGATCTTTGGCGCCAATTTCGGAAAATTCAGCCTACACGACGAAGCGTCCGACAACGAACTGAGGCTGATCGACTTCGCCGGGGTCGGAAACATGGTAGTATGCAGTACTACGCTGCGATTGGGCGCAAAACGACCCATGTGGGACCGTTATAGGGAACTGAAGAAGGAAACGAGACGTATTTTCCGCAATAAGAAGAGAGAGACCGAAATACGTTAGTGCGAAGAGCTTGAGATGGTGGTCGACTGGAAAAGCGCCCGAAAACTTCATCAGAATTAAAGCGCAAACAGTCAACGTCGCGACGTAGCGTAAACGTACGTTGACGTACGTAGCAGCATATCAAACAACAAAGCTGCTGGAGCTGACGACCTGCCAGCCGAGCTATTCAAGTACGGCGGCGAGGAGCTGCTGAGGTGCATGGAACAGTTCTTATGCAGAATATGGTCAGATGAACGCATGTCCGACGATTGGAATTTAAGCGTGCTCTGCCCAGTCTACAAGTCTACGATCTAGTTTTTAGCATTTTCTGACGGAAGTGTAATTTTTAGTTGTGTCACGTTTGAAGATCGTGTGCGATATGTATGTACATAAGTTTTATGTGTTATGCATGAAAGGTCTAAGTCCAGATGTCTGTATTTATGTATGCTCTGTCATTCATACACATTTTTTTTCGCGGCATACCAAATTAAGAAATTTGCTCATCTCGTTGATTATCACAATTATTTTGCGTAATTAACTGCTTAAATATGTATGTACATTAGGGTGGTCCAAAAAGGCATGTGAAAAAGTAAAGTCGAAATTTGTATGTTCTCACCCCCTATGATTGTTGTATACCGAAAAAATATACATTTTTTTTATTTTGAAATCAAAAAATATTTAGAGGCCGCTCAAAGTTTACCTTGTATTTTATATGAAAAAAAACAGTTTTCATAGAAATGGTATAGAATTCTTGAAAATCAATATTTTTCGATCGGGAAAACACTGTTCTTCTGCAGGAGAATCCCAGTAATATTACCCAATTATTTATTTAACCATTTTCTCATAGTAACTATATTTTATAGGTCTGCCAAAACCCGCTGAAATTGCCAGAAAATGCAATGGGGGAAAAAATAAAAAAGCTTTAGTATTAAAAATTGGTTAAATAAATAATTGGGTATTGTTATTGGGAGTGTCCTGAAGAGAACCAGAGTTGTCAGATCGAAAGATTTTCAAGATTTTCAAGAATTCCATACAATTACTATGAAAAGTGGTTTTTCCCCCATATAAAATACATGGAAAACTTTGAGCGACCTCTTAATATTTTTTGATTTCAAAATACACATATGTACACATAAAGTAAATTTATTGCCTAAGTTCAGTTCGTGATACGCTAAATGTATGGTTCTGACGTATTTGGTTCCAAAAAAAAAAATCAATAATTAAAATAATCACACTATGACAGCATGCAACCTTGATAGATTTGGAAAGAGTTCTTTGACCTACATACATACTTCCTCAACTAAAAGCTTTAATTAGGCGCTAGGCAAAGCATTATGTATACGTGCACATTCATCATCACGTGCTTTTGCCCTTTTGAAAGTTATAATTGCTGTATTTTGTGCTACTTTCTTAAAAAAAAATAAAAATATTGGGCCACATGAAGTCTGCGGATTTTTGTCTCTATGTGGCATCTGGCAACACTAATTCACTTGCATCAAAATGACGTGCGTTTAAAAGGTGCATTTCAGGCTACCTACCTAGTGAATACATTACGTCGCTCGAGTAAAAAGTTGTATTGATTGATTGATATCTAAAATTTATAAAAATTTTTTATTAGAGGTGGATTTGGCAGTGAAACGATTTCAATTATATTATTAAAACACGTGAGTATACAAAAGTTTTATCAAAATCGGTAGAACTTTTCTAAGTAAACGTGCATTAAATTTTGTTGCAGCCGGACTAAGTTTTGTAAATAAAACAGATGTTTTCAGTTTGCACTCCTATGAGAGGCAGGCGTGTCCTTCATCAGATTTTGCTCAAATTTTTAATTCTGAACATTCTGATCGGAACCCAGATGCAGTTTCACAACGCGTCCCAGTCGCCACTCGTTCGGTGGTAAAATATCATCCCTCACGACTACTTATTCCCCCTCGTTTATGTTAACTTGCTGATGTTTCCACTTGTGCCTTTTATGTAACTCTTTCAAATACTCGTTTTTCCATCGATAACTGAATTAGTGGTGTAGAACTTTGAGGATTTGCCACTTGTTTATTAGGGAGTGATTTCCTACATTGGGTTCTGGTAGTGACAGCAGTGGAGCACCGCGTAAGAACTGGCCTGGATTTAACGCCGATACGTCGTTGGGATCCTGGGACATAGGAGAGAGTGGTCGCGAGTTAAGAACCGATTCGATTCGCACAAGGAGAGTGTTGAAGGCTTTTAACGGCTGCTTCCCACAGGCAACGCATATGGGGAGCGTAGGGAGGTATAAACTGCCATGCTAGCCCATGGATAGCGTACTTTCCCGACACATCCGAAGCGACTTTGTTGAGAAAAAGGGAAAATTCTCTTTGAATAGATTTCTGGGCTCCAACAAATATTTTGCCATTGTCAGACATGACTTTGTGTGGAAGGCCATTGCGGCCGACAAATCGAGCAAAGGCCGTCTTAAAAGCCTCAGTGGTCAAATCAGAATACACTTCGAGGTGAATGGCTTTGGTTGAAAAACAGTCGCAGGACGGACGTTTTCACCATAAACGGGTCAGAGAAGTCAAGACCTGTGGTATGAAACGGTAGCGAGTGTGTTGAGCGTTCTGGAGGCAGGGCGGCCATTATCTGAGATTTCATTTGTTGTTTGTAAATCGTACAGGTTGGACTATACGAATCATAAGTTGCTTTTCGGCATGAACGAGTGTTTGGTGAGTGAAATCAAGCAAAAGAGAGCACAATCTAGATTTATCTGGGATTATGATGGGATGCCGTTCGCTGTAGCTGAATGTAGCATACGCGAGACGGCCGTTCACTCGCATCACGCCCGCTTTGTCTAACATCGGGTTGAGGGAAAGTAAAGAACTCTGCTTGCTGATGAGTTTCGCAGCCTCCAATGTGGCGATTGTTTCTTCATAATATTTGTCTCGCTGGACAGGTCGCAGGACCTGCAAAGATCATTAGAACATATCCCCAACTTATGTAGGTAACCGCTTAGTCTGCAGTGTATATAATATATAATTAACCATTGATATCACTTTGCTAAAGTTTTTGCTTCTAACTACATATACGAGTATTAATCCTCACCCCTAAAAACGATCTTCTAAATATATCATGATGCCTGTTTTTTTTTTAGCAAATGTCTATATCTAAGCATATCAACTCGAATGTGATTTCAGTTTCACACCCCACTTAATACTTCTTACTATATGTAAACATTCTGAGCACTATCAAATACTCATGTCTACATACAGTTTCATATACATATTTAATCAGTACAGTCCAGCGCGTTATGCTTGCGTGCTATCGCCTTCAATGGCCAACGCTTCAACGTCCAACCGCCACGCACGTGAATGTGTTCGTGCAGTCTGAGTTGGCGAATGAATTTCACGTGATTATAAAACAGTGTTCACAACTCTATTATATGTATGTATGTATGTATGTATATATGTATACCGTCAAGTATATTGTATTGATAAGCAATGGACATAATCGGGACCAGAGCAATATAATTAGCTTATAAATGCAGAAATTAAAGCCAGCCAACTCTAAAGATACATATTTACACAAACGTAAACTTTGTACTTCAAGTAATTATTTATTTATGTATGTATGTATAAGTTCGTCTTAAGAAGCTATGCTGAAATCAGTGAAAGCCATCAGTTCCACTCATTGATAATTGCAATCGCGCGTCAGCAATTTAATAAATTGCGTCTCTACTTTACTCGAAAACGAAATAAATCGGACGCAAATACACGCACATCCTACCAAATACCAAATTATTAGACATCTAACAAGAATGTACTAACTAAACAATGACAACAACAAACATAAAATTAACACCAACTAAATAAATGCTTGTTCATGAGCTTAGTAATCTTTCGCCGGCGACCTGTATCAAGCGGTGACCACCGGCGTGAGCCAGTTTAACCATTTAACCATAGCACTTGCGTACTTCAATTTTGACTACTTAAGTATGGAAGCGTTTAAGTACATATGTATTAGTATGTATATAAATACTTATAAAATCAATTATTTAACATTTAGTATTAAATTCGCTTATCATTGCTTTGCTTATTTTGTTCACCACATTGCTCATTGTTATCAACGCTGGACGAGACCATATACATACATACATAAGCAAGCAGCACACCAGCCTAACCTCGAGCATCAACACATGCTGAAATATCAAGTAACATCGTTGTATAAGTGTGGGTTTTTAACGGTGCACACCCCGGAGAGAAGATCGCAATTAGTGAGAGTAAATAGTAGCGGACCCATTGTTTTTAACCCAGGCTCAAAATCAAACGGTATTAATCGCGTCGCAGTTTCAAGACCTTAAACTATGTACGGGTATGTATAAGAAACCGTCATAAACCAAATTTCGATTTTTTTTTTGTCGATAACATCCTTTCCTTAGACGTGATCTCAAATATGTACCATTTCGACTCCCTTGAGCTAGCTGCAGTAAATGAACTCTGGGCACAGCTTTTACAGGCTATGAACAGCCCATGAAGGTGGTTACCGTCTCTTGCTGAATATCGTTGAAGGTCCATCCTTAGGTCTAGTCTTTTGTCAATGTTATCCTACTTGATTTCGTCTTGTTGGAAGATTTTCCGACTTAAGCAATAGGTTCAGTCTGCCTAATTTCGACCACTGCAAAACGTCCGGTCAGTATACCTGAAAGAATCGATATCTGGCACTTAGCAAGCTTCATTTACCCTGTTGACCGCCTTCGGTCAAGAACCGGCCAGAAGGACCTTGCAATCTTAAATGTCGGGGGTTTTTTTCCCAGCGCCCGCTTAGCCGATGTTATCCCATCTGTCCAGAAGCAGACCGCAAGTTGCCAAAGGAATTCTTATGCCCTATCCGTCCACGGTGATGGTCTCGAGGGTGTACCCTGTCCAGGCAATTCATCAGCCCTGCAATTTCCAGTGACATCACTGATTTGGAAATATTCCGAGGCGTTTAATTGAGACGTCAGGCATTTTCCGACCCATTTTGATCTTACAATGATCGACCCCAGCTCCTTGATTGACACTTGCCCATCAAAGTAGTAGTATTTACCCTTCAAATCGGCAAAACACTGCTGCCTAGTCAATCGCCACCTCTGCCTGAAAGGCGATGCAGAAATGCGGCAGCCCGAACGCGAGATTTATTGAAAGTTTCTGACAGAAAACACCACCTCCAACTCTGCCATCCAGCTTCGTTCCATGCATGAAGATAATTATTGTATCTCTACTCTCATTCGCCCCTTGAAGGGAAAGGGATCCTTTCGAGGCCAACATCTGGTAGTTCCGATCCAATTCGCGTGGACTCGGTACCCCAATTCTTGCAGCATACTATTTTCTCGTTTTGCCCGTTTCCTTATTGATCGGAAGACTAAAAAAAGAAGAGTTTTGAGGATCATCATACTTACCAAATTTGCCTAGATCTCTGCCAACAAAAATAATTGCAGCCATTTGGGAGCCTGTTAGTCAGATCATTGATCTGAGATCACGTTTTAATAACCATTTTGGATCTTAATGTGAAAATGGTGGTCAAGTTTACAGTTCTGACCAAAGCCAACCTCGGTTATTTGTTAGTGGAAGCCTCGCGCACATCCAAATTCAAGTTTAACGCTGCTTGACACCAAAGGCACATCTACAGAAACCGCTTTACACTCGCTTGTCGGGTTTTGGAAATGAGTTTTCCAGGCAAGGAGTATGCTCCACGAGTGCGAGGCGGTTGCGAGAAGACGGGATAGGTACCTAGGCCAACTCTGACCTACACGTATGGATCCAAGCTACACATTAGGGTTGGCTGCGGAGTATTCTTTGATGAATTATTATTATAATTCTTCGTCCGAATTCCGAAAAGGTTGCACATCAACACACGGCGGATATTCCAATGGTCACGGCTTGTGTAAACGGTCATTAGATATTTGGCAGGCGGTTCTCTTCGAGATTAGGAATTTCCTCCATGAATATTGCAAAAATTGTCGTAGTGAGCAAGAGGAAGGAGAAGTCGAACACTTCCTCTGCAGTTGCGCAGTTTTAGCCTCGTTGAACACTGCCAAAATCGCTTAGGCGTTTACAACGCCAAATAAGAAGAAGAGCAGACTTTTTACGTAAACGTTTCTTTGGCTCTCTTACGGAACTATCCGGTTAGGAAAAAAACCAATTCTGCGCTTCAAAATGGCTCCATGTTAAATAGTTACCAAGGTTTCCGTGTTTGACATTGGAGCGGCAAGGTCTAAGTAAGTCGGTCATTTGAACTAACTGCCACGTTAGCTTAACCTAACCTAACACTATATAAACATTCAGTAAGTAATTGTAAAGGCTTCACAGGTCTGGAAGCTCTACCTACATACATACCTACTCACCTATCCATTATAGACCATATATTTTTTGAAGGATACAGAATTTATTGCTTAAGTGGAATGAGGCGAGTCTTCTTGTGTCGCCAGCTAATTTTTTCTACATTTAAGACTACCTAGAGATGATTTCACGAGCACGGGGAAATACATATTTACCGGAAAACTTAAGCTTTGCCTTAGGTGGAAGTAAACCTATACCTCCAAACCTACTGCAAAGTCCTCCGTTTGAATTAAACAGCAATTTTCCGCCTGGGTATGCTCTCTTGATGAACCTTAGGAAAATATTATATGCAAGTATGTAGTATATGTTCGCAATCACAATCGTTTTAAAACTCGTGAAACACACAACCAGCTTACGTGAGACAAACACAGCCGTTGAAGTGGGCTCTAGGCTAGAAAATTGTCGAAAATCATTTGCTACGATATTTCATTGGCGAATTTCGTGGCGAGATTATTTACAAACACACACTTAAGCAGCTTGTGATTATTAAAATTTTTTTACTATAGCCAATTTGTCTGGGCTGGCAGTCATTGTGGAAAATATACCAAGCTCTGCTTGCTATCAGTTGGACGAATAAGCAGGCGGTCATTTACATAAAGTTCATTCGAATTGTTGCAGAGGTTTCGAAGTGCAGCGCGCTGATAAAGGTGCAATTCAAAACGAGCGGAAAAATTACCAAATCAAAAGCAGAGTTTAAAAAAAAAAATTCCATAAAATTTAATCACAAAATTTTTCAAGAAAACTTTCATAAATTTTTAATAGCTCAATGAAACTTTGGTGTACCGCTTAGGAAACAACAAAAAGTGTGTGCCATACATAGCAAAGCATATGAAGTGATATAAAACAAACAAAGAGAAATTGAAGCGATCTATTGTTTCGAAACAGCGTGAAGAAGTCAAGCCATCTGCTTTCCTATACGGCTGGCCGTCTGATCGGTTCTTGCCTGCCGTCTCCCATCTCCCGCATCTCCCGCCTGCCGCTGCCTAACTATCGTACTAATCTGAGTATCGCTGCTTCTTCTGGTCTATTGGCTCACCGAACTTGATTGTGAAAAGAGCATATAAAATCAGTGTGCCTTTGCATTTGGTTTTGTGCAAAAGAAGAAAAGAACTGGTGGCAACTGCGGCAGCAGCAAGAAGCCAAAAGTCGAAGAGCAGCAAGCGCATAAATCCAAAATTTAGTAGCAATTTTTCGTATTTGGTGCAAATCAAGTGACTTTCTAAATTAATGGAAAACATTTTTGCTTGGCCATACAATTTAATTTCGGCACAAATTAAATACCTGAAATTGCCAGCCACACGCGCACAATACGCCGAGTGACGAGTGAAGTGCAAATTTTTGAGGAGAAATAGAATTATTGAATACTATTGAAGTGAAAGTGATAAACGCGTGAAATCGTGAAAACTTTTCCAACAACCCCCGTAAAGGCAGTATTTCCGCTTGTGGTTCTTACGTAAAAACAAAAGTCTTCGAAAATGTTCTCTAAGAAGTCGTCGAATAATGTTTTGAGCTTGGTGATCCTGCTCTGCTTGACCGTTGGCAATCATGGACGTGCACGTAAGACGATTAATATAAATAATAATAAATATAAGATTTTATTTAAATACAAAATACTTTTAAGCTACACTGTGCAATACAAGAAAAGGGATCATGTTCTTGAAAAATTTTCTGAGATAGGGCGTTTTCGAACTGGCTTCCGAGATAGGTCGATCTTCCACTCAGCCATCGATATGTTCTTCTTAAAAATAGTACAGTACCGTAGGGCCATATGAAGGTCTTTACAAAGTTTGTTATTTAAAACTCCAAAACTAGAAATCGCAAAAAGGTTGAGGTATCCATCGCAGATCGAGCTCTCTGGTGTACAGGGAGCCTATTCGGAAAACGTTGTCCGAATGTTTGGTATAATGTAGGATCAAAACTTGGAAATGGAAAATCTGGGCTGGCCTATGTGGGCCAACTAAAAAAAAAATCGATACCAATCGGATGCTGCTCTACCATTTCTCAATCAGAGATTTATGCAATTTAAATATCCTGACGTTGTAAGCTGCGTGTTTAGGCGACTAATAACACCTAGTGCCTAAAGGTATGCTACACCCCAAGCAACTGGTACCAAACCGGATATAAAGCACGTTTGTATATAAATACAAGCATGTGCAAAGCTTTAGGTGCAAACATTTCACATTTGAAATTATTTATGCATATGCACTTCTCAACTGCCGCAGAACAAAAAAGCTACTAAAGCAGTTAATTGCTGACACCCCAAGTCATGCTCAATACTCCCGTTTGATGCATCATAACTCCTCTGGAGTTGTCTCACGAGGCTCTGTATAGATCTCTGCATACAGAGTGGGTACAAAAGTTACCAACAACTTCCTTGTTGCAATCAATCTCCCCGCGGACTTAAATAGTATACTTCCAATTAGGTGCACTGCGGAATTTCAGAAGATTCGAGTTAAACCAGTGCACACCGATGCTGGGTTCGAGTGGATTCTTTCAGCACTCATCACTGCCCATAACCTATCAAGAAAGAAGGGCGCGGTATACAAATGGAACCACAGCCCTATAAAATTATCCACGAATGGACCGAACTTAGTTGGGAAGGTGGTTAGATGGAAGAGTTTACTGCGAAATCTTTCAATCTGTTTTAAACTTGGGCCCCCGTATCACTACGGTGGCTTTTAGGTTAGGAGTTAGTCGCAACGACGAAAGCAGCATACATGAAATACCATTTGAGGAGGTTAACGCTTTTATAGGTTCTAATAGCCAGGCTACAATCAGGGTCCTTGGCTTTTCCCTGATACGTTCTAGTGCTGTCGCGTAATGTCTGATTTCTATCTCCTTGGAAACAGACTACTTCAATATCAAGCTTATGTACATACATACTCGTACATACATATGTATGTGGGTTACATACCATAGCGACATTGCAGGGCCGAAGAGCATGCAAAACGCAGCACTTTTGAGCAGTTATCGCCGAGTAAAGAGGGGATAGAGAATCCACTGACAATATGTGTTCATCTGCGTCTAATTACATGGATGGGCTTCTAGCTAGCTTAGTGAATGCCGGCCAAAAACTTTCAATTGCAAGATGGCTAGTCGCGACCGGAACATTAAGACTGGCGGCTCTCTAGAAAACTCATACAACTAAATATGTAAATCACACCTCTTATTCCAGTTGGAAGTTCGAAGAGGTGATTCCGACCTTAGGCCTTACCTTTAGGTGTCACCGCTCAACAACGCGGATATGAAGTACCACACATAAAAAAGGGTAAATCTGCAATAAAATCTGCTGAGTAGGGTTAGGCGGTCGTTCCATAAAGGAAATACTTATTATGTATAGGCATTTATTTTCCAAGCGTTTGTGGTTTGGAAAATGTCGGGCGGTGACAAAACGAGCCCTGCAAGGCCACCTCATATTTCTCATTCCGTCAACTAAAGTCATCAAATTTGTACCGCCAAGATAATGGGGATTTATTTACTTGAAAACTCATGGGTTCGTTTTAAATACCATCTCGGTTTACCTCGATGCCCTAGAGCCCTGCAACCCAGACAAAACAAATGTCTCTGGGATTCTTCTCAGCTTCTAAGTAACGGGTGATTTTTTTGAGGTTAGGATTTTCATGCATTAGTATTTGACAGATCACGTGGGATTTCAGACATGGTGTCAAAGAGAAAGATGCTCAGTATGCTTTGAAATTTCATCATGAATAGACTTACTAACGAGCAACGCTTGCAAATCATTGAATTTTATTACCAAAATCAGTGTTCGGTTCGAAATGTGTTTCGCGCCTTACGTCCGATTTATGGTCTACATAATCGACCAAGTGAGCAAACAATTAATGCGATTGTGACCAAGTTTCGCACTCAGTTTACTTTATTGGACATTAAACCAACCACACGAATGCGTACAGTGCGTACAGAAGAGAATATTGCGTCTGTTTCTGAGAGTGTTGCTGAAGACCGTGAAATGTCGATTCGTCGCCGTTCGCAGCAATTGGGTTTGTGTTATTCGACCACATGGAAGATTTTACGCAAAGATCTTGGTGTAAAACCGTATAAAATACAGCTCGTGCAAGAACTGAAGCCGAACGATCTGCCACAACGTCGAATTTTCAGTGAATGGGCCCTAGAAAAGTTGGCAGAAAATCCGCTTTTTTATCGACAAATTTTGTTCAGCGATGAGGCTCATTTCTGGTTGAATGGCTTCGTAAATAAGCAAAATTGCCGCATTTGGAGTGAAGAGCAACCAGAAGCCGTTCAAGAACTGCCCATGCATCCCGAAAAATGCACTGTTTGGTGTGGTTTGTACGCTGGTGGAATCATTGGACCGTATTTTTTCAAAGATGCTGTTGGACGCAACGTTACGGTGAATGGCGATCGCTATCGTTCGATGCTAACAAACTTTTTGTTGCCAAAAAATGGAAGAACTGAACTTGGTTGACATGTGGTTTCAACAAGATGGCGCTACATGCCACACAGCTCGCGATTCTATGGCCATTTTGAGGGAAAACTTCGGAGAACAATTCATCTCAAGAAATGGACCGGTAAGTTGGCCACCAAGATCATGCGATTTGACGCCTTTAGACTATTTTTTGTGGGGCTACGTCAAGTCTAAAGTCTACAGAAATAAGCCAGCAACTATTCCAGCTTTGGAAGACAACATTTCCGAAGAAATTCGGGCTATTCCGGCCGAAATGCTCGAAAAAGTTGCCCAAAATTGGACTTTCCGAATGGACCACCTAAGACGCAGCCGCGGTCAACATTTAAATGAAATTATCTTCAAAAAGTAAATGTCATGGACCAATCTAACGTTTCAAATAAAGAACCGATGAGATTTTGCAAATTTTATGCGTTTTTTTTTAAAAAAAAGTTATCAAGCTCTTAAAAAATCACCCGTTAGCTCTGCAGTGTATAACTACTTTAGATGTGCCGAAGAAAGGCTCAGGACCATGCAAGCTCATTTAGGCTCCAAGTTTTGCGAGACAATCAGCCCTTTCGTTACCTTAAAACTCTTCATGTCCAGGGATCCACCGCAGCGTCACTCCTTTGTGGGCTCCTAGGCGGTTAAAAAGAGTTTTACAACTGTCCATAAGCCTTGATGTTATTATAAATGAGTCTGAGGCTTTTATTTCTGCTTGGCTATCCAACATAATATTTACTCTGGCCCCATTTATCCTTCAACGTAGACATTCTCGCATACAGATTTCGCCTGGGAAAACTTCCGCCTGGAATATGGCTGGGTATGAGCCCATTGGCTTACTTTTCAGGAATCTTGGGCCAAGTACGACTGCGCCATTACTCCCGTCGTCCATATTCGATCAATCGGTATATCATAATTGGGACCATTTGTCTATCATAGATATTTTCGCTTCACAGCAGTCGCTTTCATCAATTCCGTCCTTGTAGGGCTTATGAAAGGATATTATCATTAGCATGATAGTTGAGCTTGATAGGAGGTTCATCCAGAAATGGTTTAAGAACCTCCAAGTGACCCCGAAGATCCCCACTTTTCATGCTGATTACATTGGGCAACCGTAAGGCACTACAGCTGGCCTCATTTTCAATAAGAATAGACAAAGGAGGAATGCCGATAAAGACACCAATAGTATCCGTTGAACAGGTGCGCATAGCTCCTGTGATGGACCACGCAGACCAGTCGGTGCAGCTTGCTCAAGGTGGCCCCAGCGCTTACTTGCCCCCGTTGGTTATTTTTGATTGCTTTAATCATCGAGCACATTGTATTTTGTTTACGTTATTATATTTAAGATTACTACTTAAAAGTGAAGTAAAAATAAAAATTTCCTTTTTTTTCCATCTCTTTCTCCCTTCAAGGTGACATTTGTCTGGTACAGCCATCCATTAATGGACTTTGCGTCTCAAGCACATTGGGTATTGTCTACGATGTCGAAACGCAACATTGCAAATATATGGGCTGCAGTACTGATAAGAAATTATTTGCTACGCTGGAGGATTGCGAGAAAATTTGCAATAATTCACGACATCGTCGTCTACGCACTAAATACAACAATAAAACGAACAATGTGAATAGAGAGGAATAACTAAAATGAGAAAACAAAAAGATTGCAAAACCAAAAACAGAATTGTGTAAATGCCTGGAGTGTATTTGTTTGCTTTAAGTTCACTTAATTTTATTGTATACATATGTATATTGTAGATTATCTATAATAACAATTAATGTATAGTAAATAGTTGATAAGCATAATTTAATTTTGAAAAATAAATCTTTTGTAAAAAATATGCATTTGCAGTTAATATGCATTTACGTCTTAGTTATTTTATTGAAACAAGTTTTTGTTTATTTATTAACAGATTTATAAGTAGATTATGAATTATTGTACATACATATGTATGTATGTATTGGTATATTATTATACATCTGTGTACTGTACTGTTTATGTTCTGTATGATAGACGATGAAAAATGTTAGTGAAAAAATTATATGGGATTATTAACAATTTATTATCAAGCAATAATGTGCAACATAAAATGACAGTTGTCGGTATACTTTATATATATTGTTTCTACTTAAATACGAGCTCTCCAACTTCATTTTGATGGTAAAGGGTCACTTACGACCGGTTTCACGAGAGAAATAGAGCGCTTTTTTTGCCCACGGAAATGAAAAGACAGATGAGATGGTCGGTCTTTGATCTGAAAAGGAAATTAACTAAGCTGAAAATTCGGTTAAATCGCCGTTTAGTGAATGCACGAGAAAGCTTTATGAATACATATACCATAGCCGGTACAAATGATCTGCAATCCAAGTAGCTTCCGCCTCCCCATATAAGAGGGGAGGAACATACCTCATTTTTGACTTTTTCTCCCCCTTGCTACGGAAGGTTGCGTAAATATTTAAAATAAAATCACCATGCACTCAGTTTTGATCGCCAATGTAACTTTGGTTTGTTAAGCAAATAAATAAATTTTTTGTTGAATTCATTTAGTTTTAATTGTCTCCCGAAAAATACTCCTTTTTCTTTCTACTAGTTGTACCCCAAGTCCCCCAATTTGTTCTTATCTGTACTCCTTTGGGTATTATAGGTCTGACAACCCTAGTTAAGACCGAGGCTGGTCCCTGCAACAGAATTCCTAAGTACACTTAGAATGTGGAGAAAACACTTCTCAACACTTCTGAATTGCACATTTGACGAAGAACTCAGACTCCACCTAGACGAGATGAGAATATATAATAAATGGGGTTGAAAACAACGAGGCGGATGCAGTCGAATAAATACCGGCTGAGCTGATCAAAGCCGGCGATGAAGAGCTACATTTCCATTTACCTGTGTACTTTGTCCAATCCACATGAAGGGAGATCCTGTAGTCTGCTTCGGTGGCTTTGGAGAGATCTACGCAAAATCTGTGAGCTGTTCGCGAGGGCAACGGATGTTGAAGAAGATATAATATGCCTACACTAGTGTTGTATTTTTAGCTTTTAAATTGAACTTTTTGACGTAGAGTACGTCTTACGTTTCGATATGGAGACTACGCTCAAATGTTGTAGTTGTAATTTTTAGAGCTTTACGAAAACGTTTATTGCACGAGAACTAATGAAGCGATTTCAAAAAAAGGTGGCTTATTTTGGGGTCAATTTTGAGCTTTTAAAGTGCTCTAGCAACTTTTGGTTTGCAGATAAAACTTTCATTTTCAGAATATAGATTCTTTGAAGGAATAGAAATATTATCGTTTACAAATTTTTTATAAATTCAACAAATATTGAGCATTTTAATCCAAAAAAATTTATGAAAAAATTAGCAAATTTTTTTATTACCAAAATGCTCGAAAACCGCTCGAATGATTTTGTTTTTGTTTTCTTTAGTAAAAATTTCAAGACTTTTCCTTTTGTTTGGTATATGGGAAGTATTGGTTGATATCTTCTAAGTATGTTTATTAGATTCAAATATATAGGCATAAATGATTTACCATACAAAATCGCTTCGTCATCATTTTGCAAACACGTGCTTGCGCTGGAAGTGTTTCTCAGTGAAAAAGTACTTATGTGTGTGTAGGTATATCGGCTTTTGATTAACAGATGGCGCAATATTTATAACCAAATTGCAGTGTAAATACATACATACGTACATATGGGGGTGTTTAAGAAATGAAGAATTTTGAATCGGTCGTTACACTGTTAGTCACCCCGGTGACAATATGAATATTACATGCATACACCGCGAGCAAAAGTATGGGTGCATTCCAAAACGTCAAAATACAAAGCATCAGTCTCTTTTATTTCTAAACCTCAGTAGATTGAAATGCCAAACGTGCGCAACCACAGTGAGATGCTAGTTTTCAACTAGGTTGCGCAAGTAGTCTTTTTCATCTAGTGCGGTTTAGAAATAAAAGAGACTGGATGCTTTGTATTTTGACGTTTTGGAATGCAGCCTATATTTGAATTTTCGAAAACGAAACTTAAATGGTAGCAGGCGACGGATAAAGTGTTTTAACGAGGTTTTGTTGTTGTTGTGTATTTGAATATTGGAAAAGGACTTTCCGGCAAAAATGAATGTAGTGCAGATGATATAATAAAAGCGAATTGGAATTGGAAGAGCAGGCAGAAGAAAAGGCCGTTCAGGAACCCGCTTGGAATTCAACTTCACACCATGTAGAGACAGATGAGGTTTGTATCTCAAAAGATAATCTATATATATAAATGTGAATGTCCGCAGCACGGAATCGCACGAAACTTTGCACACTTATTTGCCTTTACCCCCGGAAGGTTATAGGCATAGAGAAAAATGGGCAGTACTGGAAAAGATGGCGTGGCACATCCTATACTAACAAAAATTTTCATGTTGTATATCTCTTGAAATATTTGTGGTAGAGCATTGGAACTTGCTGTCGAGATAAATAAAATTAATTCCATACTCATTTGAAAAAATTGGCGATATTGGAAGAGGGGGCGTGGCACCTCCCATAGGCGTGAATTATTTAATGAGCTCTAACTTCGGAACCGTAATTCACATGAATTTTAAATGTGGTATGCAGACATATCTATGATAGGTGCTTATAGTAAGGTATGTATATATAAATGAGTTTGTAAAAGGGGGCGTAGCACTTAACATAGGCTTGGAATTTTTTATCAGCTATAACTTCGGAACCACAAGTCACATGACCCCTTGAATTAATATTAATTAAAATGTTCATGGGTACATATATATGTATTCATATATGTACATGTTTTTTGCCAAGAAGCAATATATAGGTATATACATATACATATATGTTACTATACATCTATGGTAGGTACATACATACATATTAATTAATATTAAGATATGATTAACTCCAAAAATTATTAAAAAAAATTCAATGCAATGTAGAATAAAAATATGGGTAGCAAATGCAATAGGAAATTTCTTTAGAATTTAAAAAATTGAAATTTTTTGCAATCACAAGGACGAATAGGTAATTTTTAAGCTGACAAAGTTTGAAGAACGAGATTCGAGGATGTTATCGAGTTTATATAAGCCCTTAACATAAAATTTTTTCAAAAACAAATATTGCGAAATTTCAAGGATAAAATTTTAAAATGACATTTTCAATATTTACCAGCCCTTCTGCACCAGAAAATTCAATCTGTTTAAATTCTGCAGGATTTTCTCATTAATTTTATACCCATACTCCATCTCTAAGCACATTTCTCTGAATTTTTAAAATCCTTTCTTAGTTACTGACGTCAGAGTGAGAAACTAAAAACGCAATTTTACTATATTTGGCCTATGGTTTCGCGAATATATGAATTTGAATCTATATATATATATATGAGAATTAATCTATATATCTGTGTTCGTATGGAAAAGTAGCTTATGTCGAAAGGCTGGCTT